GATAACTCCACTCAGAATCGGAATCCCTGGTCTCCAACACACCCTTCCAGTCCCCTAATGGGGCCCAGATATCATAATACATATCAGTCTCGGTTGCCTCCTGTGATTATAATACCACAGATTGGAAGGTGTCAGAATATCACTATATACATCGCTGGCATCAGTCCAACTAGATTCTGTTCACAGGATATACAAGAGGAGACCTTCAGCTAGGTCAGAGAAGTAGAACGGAGTAAATACGTCCACAGCATATAGAGTTACTAGACTTCAAAGACATAACAACTTTAGCGTAGGCCATAAGTAACAGAACATTTTCGTGTGAAGAGATAGTATCAAATGATAAAGGATCTCAATGAGAAATCAAGACATTTGCATCCATACTACAATAACTAGATAAGTATAGAACTTCGAGGAACGCTATCATAGAAGCTAATAGACTTCATGAAGTATTACAACTTGGTTTCAGAACACATTGTAACTGCAGAGATAACTCCCAACACTATAACAGTGATTGAAACCCTGATACCCAGAGAAAACAAGAGTTACTGACAGAGAGATTATTTGGCAATCTAGTGGAATATCTTCCTGCGAATTAGTAGGAAGTCCTGTGGAAGATGTCTATCGGTTGAGTAAGGAGTTAGGAAGGTTAGAGGTCAGGTGACCTGGAAAGGTTACGATTACAACTACTTTCACAGATACGACCCGCAGATAAAACTAATCATTTCATCAATGATGAAGACCATTGGGGTCAGCTCAGTTCGACTTGAGAACTAGGCCATAAGTGTAAAGACTCTAATTATCAGATAATTACTATTAGGAACAGTATGGTACCCAGTTAGTTATATCATAATTGCCAAAGAGGGTGTGGTGATTTTCAGAGTCTCCTTGTATTCACACCTTTTAAGAATACCTGACATTATAAGTTATAATCAGAGAGGTACATAGTTGTATAATAAATAGATGTAGTCTATGAACACTCAGACGTGGAATATAAATATCAAAATGCCTCTCAAGCTTTAGACCCATCAAATAATAGAGAAGAGACTTTAACAATATAATATTGTCTTTACGATTTAATTTTACTTTACCTATTTTACTTCACTCTTAATAGTCATAAACAAAACTAGTGAAGTTTAAGCCTTCCTAGACAATCTCTATCTACTGAAACAACTTTTAGTTGACTTAGACAATTCTGAAGTTTATCAGGTTCTCTCTGCCTAATAGTATATTGTTAGATCTCCTTGTTACCAATGCTCTCTACCTGTCTACCTACCTTTTCCTCTCGCACAATACAGCTAGAACACCAAGTATCCTACCGCATTTGTTACGCAAATGGAAACCTCCAAAAAAGTAGGCTTTCTAGTCTGCGTACCAGAAAAATGAGCTCGTAAATGAGCAAAGAAGATCTTTCAACCTCCTAAGCAGATTGCTCCAGGGGACCCAATGGATACCTCTAGAAATTACTACTGTACAACTGTCAGCCACGTAACATCTGTTCCTCAGGCTCGCTGAAAGCCTTTTGGAGTACCAGTAGGCAAAACTTTCATTGCCTCATCATCTGCAAGGATGCACTCTCCTGTTTCAGAATCCTCCACATCATGTCTAAACACCCATGCAGTAGACCTCACAAGACTTGCTTCTAGGTTGGAATAGTCATAGGTCAAATACGGCAGGGTATTTCAACAAGTATCGATACTGCCAACATTGCCTTTAAAGCTTTATCAGCCAACTCACAGGCCAACATGCAAGGACAGATAGACATTGAGCAAAGATTGTTGGAAGGACAAGACATACATGACAATGACATAGCCATTATGTTACGTCAGTATACTGTGGTGGAAGCAAACAGCGAGAAATTTACGAAAGGATCAAAAGGGAAATAGCTGCTAAATTGACAGCACAGGATGCATAATAAGAGCATCACAAGGGAGTAACCACCCAACTGCAGCAAGAAGCACTTGAGCAAGATCTCTCTCTGGAATGAGCTTTCCAGGAGTTTAGAGTACAACAGACCCAACATATTCAAGCTATACAAAACTTGATTTCCAATCTGGCCACCTGACAAGAATAGCAGGCAAATCACTATAGTAACTTTACCCATACCATTTAAAGGGATCAAACCCATATATCCAATACCATATCGCTAGTACTAGACAAACCTAAAGTACTGGATAGTGGACAACAAAGTAGTCAGCATGCTATATGGGAGTTAGTCCTGGAAGAATAGAAAGATGCTGCTATTAGGAATACCAGGATTCGATACCTAGGAGTCCCCCTAAGTATGATAATCTTACCCAGAATCGGAATCCCTGGTCTCCAACACCACCCTTGAGCCCCCTTACAGGGCCCTCAGGTCATCATACATATCAATCTTAGTTGCGTCCTGTGACTATAATACTATAGAATAGTAGGTATCAGAATAACACGGTATATGTCGCCGCCATCCATCCAACTGGATCCTAATTGTAGAATATATGGGAGAGGACCTTCGGCTAGGTCTAGGAAGTAGAACAGAGTAGGTCCATCAAGTACCCAGGGGGTTACTTGGCTTCAAAGATGTAATGTCTTGAAAATGAGTGTTAGGTAACAGGACGTTTTTGGACGACAAGATGGTATCGAATGGTAAAGAATCTCAATAAGAGACCAATACATTCGCATCCATTCTAGAACAACCAGAAGAGTCTAGAACTCTGAGGGACACTACCATAGAAGCCAATGGACTTCACAGAGTGTTACAACTAGGTTTTAAAATATGCTGTAGATGCGGAATAACTCCCAATACTACAATAGCAATTGAAATCCTGTTACCCAGAGCAGCCAAGGGTTGCCAACCAAGGGAATATTTATCAATCTGGTGGAAAAGCTTTTTGCAAATTAGTAGGAAGTTCTCTGGAAGACATCTATCAGTTAGGTAAGAAGTTATGATGGTTTGAAGTCAGAAGACCTAAACCGGTTGCAATTATGACTACCTTCACAGATGCAACCCGCAGATGAATCTGATTATTTCATCAATGACGGAGACAATTGTAGCGAACTCAGTTCAACATGAGAACCAGACCACAAGTCTAAAAGACTCTAATAAACGGATAAGTACTATTGGAAACAATATGGTTCGTAGTTAGTTATATCGTAATTGCTGAAGAGGATGTGGTAATTTTCAGAGTCTCTAGGTATTCGCACTTGTTAAGAATACCCAATATTGCGAGTTATAATCAGAGGAGTACATAGTTGTAGAATAAGTAGGTGTAGTCCTCGAACACTCAAACACAGAACAAAAATATCGAAATTCCTTCCAAGCTTTAGATATGATTAAGCAATGGAGAAGAGGGCTTAACAATATAATATTGTTTTCACAATTCTATCTTACTTTACCAAATTTACTTTGCTCTTAGTAGTCATAAACAAAATGAGTAAATTTGACCCTTCCTAGACAATCTCCATGGACAGAAACAAATCTTGATTGGCCTAGACAGTTTTGCAGTCTATCAGATTGTTTCCGTCTAACAGTATATTGTTAGATTTCCTTATTACCAAGGCTTTCTACCTATCTACCTACCTTTTCCTACCACACAACAATGCTGGGATACCAAGTATCCCGCCACATATCCTAGTCAAATAGACAAGAATCAACAAAAGGTAAAAAGAGAGAAACTCTTTATAAACGGAGTTGGTCACTCCAAAAAGAGGAAGTGGGAACCGGAACCTGAGAAACCGCCAAAGAGATCCACCAGGATTATGAAGTTAACACATACAAACTTCAAAACTGTCCATGAAGGAATCCCCCAGTCAACAATTGACAAAAACAGGCTGAAAGGGTATTGCACTCACTTTGGAAAGAAAAACCAGGAGTGCAAAGACTGCTGGGAAAAATTTTAAAAATATTTTTATTGACTTTAGAAATAATTATATATATTGTATTATAAAAATCTCTTGATGTTGACTTCTTATTAATAAAATGAGCTCTACACATTATTTGTAAGTACCCCCTCAGCCTTGATACTTTTTCCTTCAGTTACCTTGCTGTATTCAAATATGCTATCCCAAACATGAGGACACAATTGGCTAACATTATAAAGTAACCTAATGCAACTTCCCGCCCCAGTTGTTACTGAGAAATCATCTTTTTAACTTTGAAAACCCCTACTGGTAGTCGTGTTGAGCTGTGAGTCTCTGACTGGTTTTGATGTAAAATAACTAGCGGCCTGAGTTTTATTATCACCCTACGGGTATTGTACTCCATTACTATTGGAGCTGTCCAGAGAATGTCCAACGAAGAACGGGCGAAAAGGATTCCAAGAATAAATGCCAAAAGATCGTGGATCGAGGATATCATAAGCCTTGTGATACTTCTTTGGTTGGGTGCTGGGGGGCTAGTTCATGGTACAACACCATATTTGTTTCCAGAACAACCCAGACTCAGGTTCAGGCCACGGACCTACTATCACAAACTCGAAGAGTCGGACTTCTGAGCCTTTGGAGATACCGGTATTATTGGTACTGAGTTAGATTCCACCTAGTGTGACTGTACCGGCTTGCCAGTATGACTCATGGGGGTGCACTACCAATCCTGGCACTTCACAAGTACGGTACGTTGCGTAACGGGAACAGATTTGTGTTTGGTGTAGTAAAAAAAAATTAAATTTTCTATTACGGGCACAGTCAGTGCGAAATGTAGTTTTGATGGATCTCCTCGGATGTAAAGTATCAGTGACGATCATACGGTGCCACAATCTACCGACCGCATACTGTACGAGTACTCATCACATAAGTATTAGTGAGGCACGGAGGAAGGAATAAGCGTTGTGAGCATTTTTGACAAAGTCGACACCTGTCCCAGACGGAGACAAGTGCTAGGCATTTACTCGAGTAATGAATGGCTGGACATAAATTTAGTAGCGCTGTTTCACTACCACCGGTAGCTTATCCTTAATACCGTGTGCAAAGTACGGTTTAGCTCTGGGCGAATATGCACGTTTGTTGACGCATCAACCCAGGTGCTCTAAAAGTAGGAAGCTGAAGCTACAAGTAAGCGGCAACCAAGAAAACATACCGTACCGGTATTAAGGCGAGCACAGCCTAGCCAGCAAGACTCATCCACAGCACTAACTCTACTCGTCTTCATAGATCCTATCCATCCTGCCACCTCCCCCTACGGCCCCTGTTAAGTCGGGGATCCAACCTTTCGGCCTTTCACTACCCCGGACAATTACCCCACAAACTGCCGTCTCAACCTTCTCTACACAAGTTTTCATGACACCAAGCTTCTTTTGAACTTCCTTCCCCAGGAGCCCGCTCCCCCCACCGAGTGTAGTATCCAACCCCTCGAATTCCAACCTTAATTCTCTTAGATCTCTTAGAGCCTTGGCCACTTTCTCATCCTTGTCCGCACCGCCCCTCGTCGCAATCATGGTGATAGAGAACCGCATCATTTCTCCGATCAGGTCGAATATACCAAGGATATAATCTCCAGGTGTTATCTCGACAGGAGACTTTACCGATTGTTGGACCTCTGATAGAGGGATCAATTTGCCTGTGGTAAGGTAATGATGGAAGGCTGTTGCCTCGATATATTCCTGAATACCCCCGGAGATTTGGCGAGCATAGCGGTAGGTAGAAATATCCTGAAGATCAGGTGAAACAATGGATATTATGCTCTGAACCTGTTTGAAGCGGGTTTCGTACTCCTCGCTAAGGGGAGCTGGAAGGGGAGAGAAAGGTTCGCGAGCCCTGTTAAATAGATTAATTTATACTGTATCCTTACGAGAGGTGGAGATCGAATACCGCTGAACAGTGAAAATCCTAAAATTATCAGTTAATGGCTTTTTGAAACAGTTTGAGCAATGAGACTACGAGAGGACTGTATACATCTTCTTGCTCAATGCAGTAATATCACGAGATGCCTTAATTACCCTCTCACGGCAGTCGTGATGTTCATCAAGCTCATCACGAAAATGATTGAACATGGACAAGTAAGGGTTGCTCTGTTGTTCCTGGGTCGGTATTTTTTTTGGCCTGTGAGGCTCACCAGAGCGTTGAGAAGTTGGCATTGGAGTGGCTTAAAAGTTCGTGTCGTGGAAAGGCTGGTAATGGAAAGGGCGGTACTGGTATCTGATTCGGAGGGAAATGGTAGGAGTGTGTTTGTGCTTATCACACATGGGATGGAGGAGCTTATCGAACGCAAGCAAATGTTAGTGCAAAACCCTAACAAGTGCCAAGATTTCTTTCATGCAGGATGAGGAACAGGATGATCGGAGATACACATGATGAGGTATACTGCAGCACTCTTGCGCAAGCACAAACTGGCATCGGCTTCATGTCCATCAATGTCTCTCCTTCTCTTGCACTCAGTGCTCAGAGCTCAGCTTGGGAGTTCGCGTCTGTAGCTGAATTACAGCACTCGAGTACCGTACCGGTATTATGCTAGCATCGTAGGTCTGCCTGTAATCGCACGCCGTGCCCAAGTCACCCTTATGGCCTAAATATAACAGCAAGGAGTACGGGTCACTCAGATGAGGCGGGGAGAAGGTTTACGTTTTTCTCCCGTCTTGGTCGCCTCGTCTGGGGTTATTATGTTTCGTGTAGTCTTCTTGGGGTCGTTTCAGAGGCAGCACAGAGTGTGGAATAGGTGACCGAAACGTGACAATAAATTGAGAGCTTCGAAAGGCGTTCTTCGCCGTGATTTAGAGTCAGGCAAGAGCCTGGTATTTTGAGGGTACAATATCCTGGCCACATAACTTCCGTACAGTACACTAGAAATGATATGGCGCCAGCCGCAGTCGATCCAAGTCAGGGCACGGTTTATGGATTGGATTGAATGGTTAGAACTTTGGAGGGTCGTGGTATTGAATCCAGCTCTAATATTCACGATGGAACACCATCCAGTACCATTACAGTACTGGTATGCCCCTAAGATACTGCATACTTCCTCTCTCATCATTTTTGATAGCGCGCACGCGTCCGGTCATTTGCAGTGTCACTTCTTTCCTCCTCCCTCCAACCGTTGCTATTCACACTTTTATCATAGCCTCCAGCTGCTTCTGTGACCAATAAATTACCTATACTTGATTGTACTTAAGTACAATAAACCCCTCCCGACGCTCCTTTCTGGCCGGCACAGCAATTGATCAACTCAATTTCGCAGCATCCATACCGGTACTCGCAATTCCTCTCGATTCCTCAACATTCTACAACACACAAGTAACTTAATCATACATCCAACCTGTGACACAGTATCGTGTCCCATTTCCGATTACCTCCCTGATCCTTCTTCCCCTATTCCCGCCTGCATAACGCACCCTTCCGTCAAATTTCTCCGGATACATATTCCTCTCACCATATTCTACACATTCCCCTCATTCCTCTCGTCACCCTCGCCTAGTCCAGAGAGACCTCCTCGTTATTCCACCTGTCACCCACGCCGATTCTACGGTAGCTAGCCTGCGAAAGTTTCACTCGTCTACTGGAAGGCCCCTCAGCTCACGGTTGTGTTGCAAACATATTGCCCGAGAACCTGGAGGGCTGTGGCACCAGCCGAGAGCAATCCAGATCCAACCACCACCACCGCCGCCTAAGCAACCAAGCCCAGCCTTATATCCCGCTCTGCTCGAGACCACTTGCAAACATCATAGCAACGCTACCTCTCCTCACGACCGTCTCATTCCTCTCATTTCCTCTCAACTCCCCACTGTGATCACCCGCTTGTCAACCTTTCCCATAACAACAAACTTCTCAACCGAACCCGGCTACCCACCTCTAGTCTAACCTCCCATACTCCTGCCCCCTTTTCTTTCTCCCTCTGTCACCAACACGAACAGAGAGGGGCCCTCCTAGCCAACACCCACTTCTAGAAACAACGCCAACAAAACAAGCCAGCCCGGAGGAAAAAACCCCGAGAAAAAAGCAAACAACTGTTCGCGCACCCGGGGCAAGCGAGGCGTTGAACGTTCGCTCAACTACAACAAAAAGAAGTTCTACCAGCTTCCTCATGGCCTCTCCGGAATCGAATCGCATCGGGGGGGCTCGCCCCTCTGGGGCTGCTGGTGTGAAGGGTCTCCTGGCAATGTTTGAAAACTCTGGTTCTGCTGGCCCTGCCAGTGGTAATGCTTCACGCGATATCAGTCCTAGTCCTAAACCGTTGAGCAAAGTCAGGACCTCATTCGTGGCGGTTACGGGAAGCAACGGTCAAATGATGGGGTTGCAGAGAATATCTGCTCCTCCTAGCCCAGTCGTTACTACAGATGGAGGGAAGTTTACACCAGGTTTTCAGGATAAGGATAAGGTGGTTCAAGAAAAATCAATCAAGAAGGAGGAAGGTACTGAGCCAGCTAGCGGAGCTCCAAAGGCCGAAGAGCCTAAGAAACTCGGGACCAAAGCAGATTTCACAAGAGATATTAAGAGGGAAATCATAGTTGAGCCGAAAGAATCTGTTAATGGATTCTCTACGCCGAAACGATCGCCTACCGTCCCGACTTCCGTGCCCGAAAAAGTTCAAATCAAGAAGGACGCTGAAACCCCCCAGAAACCTCTTGAAACGATACCCACAGAGGCGGGGGAAGAAAAGAAGGATACAAAGCCGACGAAAGCCGATACCTCCAAGCCAAGGCCCGCGGCCATCAAAACCGGCCATCCTCCCAAATCCCCCATGAAATCAGGCTTCAACTCCCCGAGGTCGAACAGAGCCTCTGTAAAACCACCCACTTCGTCTGGTAATACTCTCACTCTCCCCACATCCAGAACCACCACCACTTCCCCATTGCCCTCTCCAACTATTCCTAGAAGCCCCGCTCGCGGTGCTTTATCAACTACCGGTAGCGCGAATAGTAGAAAACCCGCCTCCACCTCAAGGGCCTCTTCCAAGACTCGTTCGACTACTACTACATCGATATCCAATACACCCACCAGTTCTACTTTTAATACAAACACCAACGATGCAACTTTATCGACAGCTTCCAAGACTCGGCAGCCAGCTACCTCTAACGCAAGGGCCTCCGCTCCACCTAAAACCGAGCAGAAACCTGTTCAGCCAAGGGAGCCAACCAAGCCGGCAGCCATGCGTGGCTCAGCTTTTGGCCCTACCGCAGCTTCTGCAGCAAAGCTGGCGGCGGATCAAGCCAAACAGCCCACAGCCCGTCGCCCTCCCTCTTCTACGTCCACCATCCGTCGGACCTCTCCAAACAACAGACCACGTCGCCCAGAGTCTAATTTGGGTACCCGCCCTACTGCGCGTCAGACTGCAAAGTCCCCAGTTAGACCAGCTACCTCTGCCGCCACCCGAAACAGCCGGACAAGTGCAGGATCCACTGCTGGCGCTGCTCCAGTTGGCGGGGATTTCCTGTCTCGCATGATGAGACCAACGACTGCAAGTGCTAGCAAGGTTACCGATAAAAAGCAGATACCAACTCATCAACCACCAAGGAGGTCCGGCTCAGTGACTAGCACAAGCCGAAGAAAGGAGGCATCTTCGCTTCCTCCGCCGAAAGTTCGATTGCAAAAGGAAGATACACAATCCGAAGGTTCTGCCATTGAGGAGTCTGCCACCCAAAACCCAACTAGGGCCGAGGGCCAAGTGAGGGTAGAGGTTGAGGCTTGCGCTGTGACCGCCCATGAAGCAGCAGCCCCCGAGCCCAACCGGATCACCGAGGCTGTCGAGGAGCCAAAATCAATTGCCAACGAACTTAGTGTCGACACAACTGCAAAAGAGATCACCAATACCAACACTCAGGGCTCTTCGGTTGCAGGAACTGAGGAGGATGAAGGGCACACTCCTACCACCACTGCTTCGTCATCCACCACCCTCGTACATGAAGGCGACGATCAAGAGGAGGTCACAACCAAAGAGTAAGTCCTCTTTTTTTCGTCCTCATTCTCTCTGAATTGTATTCTAATTTGAAGTTTAGGGAGTGAGGAGCTGCCCGGCAACACTAACACCAATGAGGAATGGGTGGACAACGGCAGTTCCAACGCGAAGACTGCAAATTAGTAATATTATGGGAGGGCTTGCTTTAGCTCTAGTTTGAAGAAAACTTAGCATTTGGTGTGGGAGGGGAGTGGATGGGTTTCACCTTCATTTCCTTGTTATATTCTTTTACATACCTTTCCCTTATTTTTATTTTTTCCCTCCACTTTGATACTCACGATAGCATGGGAATTTGGAATGATCGGGGATAGCATGGGTTCATTTTGCCTGCCTCACTCTTAAAACTTCTTGATTTGTTGTTTCCAGCTTTCTCTTAGTCACTTTTAAGCACATCATATGATTACCAAATTCCCGAAATCCTCTCGTTTCCTAGTCATTTTCTTTTGTATTTTTTTTTTATACCACTCGTGATCTTCGTTCTTTTCACTGCATCTTTTCGAATTACGGCGCCTTGGGATTAAGGTAGTTGGGTGCGCATTCTTGATTTTCCTCTCCTTTCCTCATCCTCCACCTTCACCGCTCAGGCCATTTCGGCGAAGTCATTTTAACACACCGTCATTAGCCTTTTATTATGTCTTTTCTCCAAGGGTAAATTGGAATCATAACTCTTGTAATGCCACCTTTGCGCTTCTCTTCCGCCTTATTCCGCTTGCTTCCTTTCTTCCCTCCCTTCATTACATGTCATGTTAGATGGGTATTGTAAGGGAATATCTAGACGATTGAAGGTAGTCTCACCGCTATATACCAACCAGTGGCGGCAGAATTGGTGTTCAGGGCTGTGAGAGTACTAGACATGGATTTTTCCGAGTGATGTCATATGATGAAGTTCAATCTCGATAAGGCTTGCATATGGGTGTTGATATGGGAAAATTGGCCAGACACCTTAAACCTGATGTTGAGTTATTACACTTAGAAGTTTGCATAGCAACCACTACACTTTTATGAAACTCACAAAAGTAATCTTACGGAAAAGTTTTCCAATACTAATTCAAGGACTAGAATATAATATTTGAGTAATATAGCTAGTATGATATTAAAATTGCTTTCCCTACATAGCTATGATAAAAACTTTAAAAAAAAACATTGTTTAATTTTATAAATTATACCATTAGTGAGAATTTTCATACAAAGAATAAAAGTTGTTATAACAATTAATTCTAATCTTGTAACAGCTTTGTAAGTATAATCCAGGTACTTGACCAATTCAAAAGTCTACGGAAATCTTGGCGCCAAGTGTCCAGTAAAAATGTGAGAGATGATTTATCCACTCACGTCCACACAACTCGCTTGTCATACCACGATCCTGGATTCTGAATGTATTGGCTATTATGAACTGAGGTATGAGCTGGAAAACAAGAGGTCATACAGGATATATTACTAACTAAGCTTCATTTAGGAAAGGAAATAACTCCACGCCGTCAGGCCGTGATAATTGCTTTCCGGAGCCTTGAAAAGCCGATTACATTCCAAAAAAATAAAAGAAGTTACAGGCATTCCAATCTCTACCGCCCAGCAGATTTGGCAACACACCAAAGGGAATGCCTCTGATGCCCGCCAGGCACGTCAGGCTGCTAGGAAACCTGGCTTGAGCTTAATTGATGTTCCATTTTCACTCGATGAACTGATTGCCCATTCAGGCTTAGATTCTAAAGCACAGTCTAGAAGACCTGCCTTGTTAAGCAAGGAGGATGAGGATCGCTTAATAGTATTTATTAAGAGAGATTTTTATGCTTGGTGAATGAAGATAATTGATATCTGCCGCGAGGGGGGCTTCTCCCATGTTAGTCAAACAACAGTGATTCGGGCCTTGGCTAAACAAGAGATTAGCTCTTATCAGGAAGAATTTAAGCCAGTTCTGACTTTGGAAAATAAAGAGAAGCGATTGGTAGGTAGTATTCTTACTTGTTCTATGATATAATGTCCCCCAAGCAACCCAAACACCATCTCATCTGAACAGATCCTGGTTGGTAGGTTATGCGTGAGGAAACAGTTGACGACCAATCGTCACTACAGTCTATCCAATCAAACCAAGAAAACCACCTGAAAGCCCCCTATCCCAGCCCAGTCATCTCGGCAGGAGGAGTGCTGGAGTTTCCAGAGAAGATGTCTGCCTACCTGCAGAATACTAATGTGTCATCTATCTTAATAGAAATATTGTGAGAAGTAGGAGCTTTGGTTACCGAACAGAGAGTAGGCAAACTATGGGTTTACAGATGAGATGGCAATAGAGATCAGGGCAGGCTTTGGGGCCCAGCGTGTCTGGAGGGAAAAAGGGGAAAGGTGGGAGAATGATTGTGTGGGAAGCAAAAAAAAGCGAGAAGAATCAGTAATGTGCTGGGGGGCAATTGGATGGAATTGGAAGAGATCTTTTTATGTTTGGGTAAAGGAATCCAAGGAGGAGAAAGCGATGGTAGTTGAGAAGGTGAAGGAATGGAATAAGGTGGCTGAGGAGAAAGAGCAGGAGCTGAATACAGCTTGGAGGGGAACGGAGGAGTGGTGAAAACTGCAGGAAGTAGAGTTAGCAGTACTATGAGCAGCTAAAGCTCTCAGAAAGCTTACCAAAGAACAAGGAGACTCAGAAATCCTTGCCCTGCTAGTACGACAATCTTGAAGGGCAAAAAAGTTCAAGATTACATACGCTATTTAGAAGAATGTCAAAGGAATTGACTCCTGGAGATATGTTACTGCCTTATGCAGACCACTACTTTGGCCAACCAGCCGGACTCGCTCCATCCTCAATCCTCACTTTCAACTCATGGAGGATAATGCTTTTTCCCACAATTCTGATTTTATAAATCAGGAGTGGATAAAAGAGGGTATTGCGAAGGTAGATTAGCCTCCAAACTCACCCGACTTCAATCCAATAGAGCATCTTTAGACCCTAATGAAATGGTGAATACTTCACCATCGTGGTACTGAAAGTATAACTATGCTCAGAGCAATGAAGCTTGTTCTTAAAGAAGAATAGGAAAATATTACGATTGAGGAAATCAATCATGAAATTGTGAAGTTGCTGGATATTATGGTACGGTGTATGGCTACTAAGGGGGGAAACAAGTTTCAAGCATCAATCATTTATACTTTAAATAGCTTCCTTATCTTTTATTTATATCTTCTTTCAATCCTACATCTTATTTCATCTTGATCCTTTTTCTATGCTCATTGCATTACCATTTTCTTCCTGATATCTTGGTGCTAAGATTTCCATAGACTTTTAAATCGGCCAAGTAGATTAAGAGTGTTAAGGGTACTGGAATCCAATACCTAGGAACCAGCCTAAGTAGGATAACTCCACTCAGAATCAGAATTTCTGGTCTCCAACACCCCCCTCCAGCCCCCTTATACGGCCCGTATATTGTTATCCATTTCAATCATAGTTAAGTCCTATGACTATTATGTCACAAAATTGAAGGTGTCAGAATAATACCATATACATTGCTACTATCCATCTGACTGGAGCCTGTGTACAAAATATATGAGAGGAAACCTTCAGCTAGGTCTGGGAAGTAGAATGGAGTAAATCTGTGAACTACTCAGAGAGTTACTAGGCTTAAAAGAAAGAACATCTTTGGCATGTGCCACAAGTAATGGAACATTCCTGTAGAAAGATATGGTATTAAACATTAGAGAATCTGCACGAAGAGTCAACATACACTCATATATCATACCATAATTAGCTAAGTCTAAAAGTCCAAGAGACACTACTAAAGAAGCCAATAAACTTCACAGAGGATTACAACTAGGTCCAGTAATACATCATGGCTGCAGAAATTATCCTCATTATCAAATAGGATCTAAAGTCCTATTACCTAGAACAACAAAGAGTTGCAGACTGAGAGATTATATACCAATCTAGTAGAGTTGCTTCCCGTAGGTTAGTAGGAAGTCATCTAGAGGATATCTGTTGGTTCATTCAGGAGTTATAGAGATATAAAGTTGGCAACCTCAGAAGGTTTCATATACGGTTACTCCTGCAGATACAACCCAGAGATGAAACTAATCATTTTATCAATAGGAGAGACAATTGTGGCCAACTGTTAGGAATACAGGGATCCGATACCAAGGAGTCACCCTAAGTAGAGTAACCTCACCCGGAATCAGAATCTCTGGTCTCTAATACCAGCCTCTGGCTCCCTAATGGGGCCCACACATCATCATACATATCAATCTCAGTTGCATCCTGTGACTATAATACCACAGAGTATAAGGTGTCAGAATAACACCTTATACATCGCTGCAGTCTGTCCAACCAGATCCTGATCGCAGGATATATGGGAGTGGACCTTCGGCTAAGTCTGAGAAGTACAATAGAGTAATTCTGTCAAATAACCAGAACATTACTAGGCTTCAAATATGTAATACCTTTGGTATGGGCCATAGGTAACGGGACATTTCTGCACAAAGAAGTGGTATTGAATAGTAAAGAATCTCAGCAAGAGACTAATACATTCACACCCACTCTACAATGTCTAGAAAAGTCTAGAACTCTGAGAAACAATACTATAGAAGTTATTAGACTTCACCAAGTGTTGCAACCAGGTTTCAGAACATATTGTAGCTACGAAGACAACTTCCCATGCTACAACAGTGATTCAAATACTTTTACCTAAAGCAATCAAGGTTTGCCAACCAAGAGAATAATTGACAATCGGGTAGAATAGCTTTCTGTGAATTAGTAGGAAGTCCACCAGAAAACATTTATCTGTTGGGTAAGGAGTTATAGAAATTTAAAGTCAGGTAACTAAAAAAGGATTGTGATTATGACTACCTTCGCAGATACAACCTGCAGATGAAACTGATCATTTCATCAATAACGAAGACAATTGGAGCCAACTTGGTTCAACTTGAGAACTAGGCTCCAAGTCTAAAGACTCTAAAGATCAGATAACTACTATTGGGAACAGTATAGTTCCGAGTTAGTTATATCATAATTAGCAAGAAGGGTGTGGTGATTTTTAGGGTCTTCAGGTGTTCGCACCTTTCAAGAATACCCGATGTTGCAAGTTATAATCAGAAAGTTACATAGTGGTATAATAAATAAATGTAGTCTGCGAATACTCAGACATGGAATATAAATATTTAAGTACCTCTTAAGCTTTAGACATTATCAAGTAACGAAGAACAGACCTTAATAATATAATATTGTTTTTACAATTCTATTTTACTTTACCGAATTGACTTCGCTCTTAGTAGTCATGAATAAAACAAGTAAACTTGAGCCTTTATAGACAATCTCCTTCTACAGAAACGAATTTCGATTGGCCTAAACAATTCTAACGTCTATCAGATTGTCTCTGCCTAACAGGATATTTTTAGATCTCCTTGTTACCAAGACTCTCTGGTCTAATTGGATACTACTTTATATTTTTTTGTGAGTACATAGGTTCAATTCATACCTTGAGTGAAGTCATTGATATTACAGTCGGCCTAGATACTCCTGAAGAATTATTGCGACCCAGTTCAATCTTCAAACTACCAACTAAGGTACACTTGCCATCAATCAGTCAAGTAATATCTAGTCAATTCGAGCTTTCAGAGATATTATTTCTGGTACAAGAAGCTCCCTCATAGTATACTGACTCAGATCTAGTTCCCACTGAGAAACAATTTAAGAAACTT